TGCTTAGAGCAAGAAGGCTCATTCTCCATTCTCTGGACAAATAAAGGTAAGAAGGCTAACTTAAATACTGTATTTATTGTCTTTTCTTAATGATTTTGTTAATGTTCAAGTGTCAGGACATATTTGTGCACCATGACATTAGGCTGTAATATGTATAGGATCGTATTAAACCCCTAGATGTCATTTGATAAAGGTTACACCGAGATCCTTAGAGACAAAAATGTCCACATCAACAAAAATGTTGCATAATAATATTATTTTTCCTCATTAACAACTTATTTCTTTTAGCCATAAAGGTCCTGATCAAGATGAACAAATGTTCATTTATTTCCAGATTTTAATATTCTAGATGCCAGTTTGATTATGTGATGCCACAGCTAGGTTTTTTGTTTTGTTTTGTTTTTTGCAATATATAATTACATATATTAATATTGCATATAGTAAGTGCGAAGTGAAAAGATATTTTTTGGATTATCACAATCTGGCAATAATTATGAACAGCATTGCATTGTCTCTGAAGAATTCTTGTTTTTGGTTGTTTTTCTTTTAAAATGCAGTTTAAGAATTAAAACAAAAAAACAAACTAACAAACAAACTCATACATGGGATATTAAAGACAAAAACGTCCCCATCAAAAAAACCCTAACAATTTTATATGCCACCTCATTTTTTTCTACTTTCAAAGACTCATTTTGTTTCACCAGCATCCTGATCATATGAACACAACACGTTTTCCCAAAAATATCCATTTATTGGGTGTCCACGGGGATATTTTGGTCTTTAAGGTCCTGAGTGGTGCTTTTTTTTTGTTTTTTTTTTGCATACATAGCCTATTATTGCTGCGTTATGGTGCCTAAAAGTACAATTTCAAAATTCCCTCAGCGTTACACACCAATGACGGCCAAAATGATCTAAAAATCAAAACTCAACCTGACAAAACTGTCCTCATGGGTGTGTGAGAGTGTGGAATACTCGACCACTAGCAGTGCTATGGAGCAACATTTCTATGGGTTGGTCTCCACATCCAGATGGAGAGGCGTTGCATTGGGATACACATTCCTGCTTTAACACTATCCTGCTAATTTAAAGCTGATTGCGATGATGTGCAAAGAGGCGTAACGATGTGCCAACAAAGGAACGGATAGGGGCCACTGCAAACCAGTAAACAAGCGTGTTAACGAGGCGCTAATGACGATCGGATATGCAAATGTTTCATGAGAAGTAAAGTAAATCTAACTTTTGTATGTTTACAGGTTAACCTGTGCTGTACTGATGCTCTCCTCACTGCATGTTTGTTCCAGTTTATTTAGCTGATCTATGAAACCATGTTGACCAATCCAAACAGAGCACTGTGATGATATGGCTCATGTGCACATCTAGTGTAGAATAGAGCTTTTGTTGCATGCAGACGTACAGTAAAGCCCCATGAAGTCTGAAGTTATGGACATGATTGATAAAGTTTCAAAAGATCTCCTGCCTGCCGAAGCGTCTAACCTTCCAGTGTTTCATCACAATAGCCGCGAGAGCGACCCGGAGCTGTGTGAAACGCAAACTGCCTTCCATTTGGTGTGTTTGAACAAATGTTTGCGTGTGTTTGTTCATCTCCGAGTGGTGCTCAGTGCTGGTGCCAGGCTTGTTGCTGAATATGGCAGGGTCTATCTTCACATTATCATGGCTGAGTGGGCTTGGGGCTGTGTGATGAATCAGGGACTCAATAATAAGCTGCTTATGTAAACATTACAATTGTGCCTCAGCTGCAGCGTGCTAAGGCGAAAAAAAAGATGGCTATTATGAACTCCACGTTACAGTAAAAACCTTTTGTCCAACGTTGTTTGTTCAAAAATATAACTATTGTTATCGCGTCTGCACGTACACGAGCGCTCTGCTGGTGTCGTAACGTTATTTTAGATTGAAAATGAACATGAAGATAAAAGCTGGAATGAAATGTGGTTTATGGGATGTTACTATAGGTTAGTAGAAATCCTAAATACTACGAAATGGTTCCTATTTGTCTAATTTAATTCACCTCCGAGTTTTATTTCAATACCAATTCAACCTTGTCTCTTTTAGTTAAATGTTGAAAGACTGATGCTGAAGCCACTTTCCAGGCTAAAGGTAAGCATCCTCAGCAGCTAACCATGTGTGCAAGACGTGGAAATAAAGGAGTAGCACTGTACTTGTAGAGCTATAGGTAATTTCAGCCAACAGGTGTGAAGACTGTAGCGGACACACAGTCGACTGTTCTGCAGCACAGAATGGTCCAGCTGCTCCTCGTCATTCTGCCAAAGGGGGACAGCTTCAGATTGGTTCTGAGTTGATCCCACAATGATGGAGTCTTTTGATGGATCACTTGTACAGTGGTACATGATCTGCACTTACATTGCCTTTTTAGCCTGACCTACAAGGCGCTTCACAATGCGTTTCTCGTTCAGTGTCTTGTTGAAGGACACTTCAGGGGTCGGGGATCAAACAACCAACCTTATCATCAGTGGACAGCTCGCTCTACTGCCTGAGCTGTGGGTCGGAGGTGAGTGCTGTCATTAAAAAGGGTAAATTACTGAAAAAATGATGATAATAGTAATAAAAAACAAAAAAAGAGGTTTGCTGCTTGGAGGTTGTTGCTTCTCATGATTTACACGACCAATGCCAGCCTCATACACACAATCTACAACTAGTGGATCAGACCAGTATGTGACAATCCAGGAAGTGTGAGAAACAAACGCTCAACAAAACTTTGCCAAGATCCAATAAAGAGCCCGACTGAGCTGCTAACTTTAGCCAATATTCTAATGTAGTGTTGCAGCACGACTCAAACCCGGCAGATCCTCAGATCGGGTTGTGTTTAGGGTTGGATTTCAAGCTGCTTTTTTCAGCATCCCATACACCTGCAGGTTTGGATCGGACCTGGATCAGAGACAGCAGAACCAATCTGTCGCATTAGACCGGCGAGCTAGTACATCAGTAAAACAAAACAAAGCAGAAACATGTAGAAGGAGGTTGTAACCCTCTGTTCCTGGGAGGTTTTACTCCTGTCACATTTTCACTCATTGTGTTTCCATTTTTCTCTGCAGTGCAAAGTCTTGCATCTCTAAGGAAACAGTGCAGCCATGACTAGAAGTAAAGAGAACTCTGTCCAACATGGCAGTTTAACGCTATAAATCAGTCTACTCAATCGAAACAACCTGGAACACTACTAGAAAAGAAAAAAAGAAATGGCAAGTCTACATACTCTAGATAATTTACTTGTTAATTTTTAGTCTTCTCTCTGTTCTGTATAGACGCAGCCTCTGTAATGTAACTGCAGAAAATCTTGTTTTTTAACAGAATCTTACTGGTTTAGTTTGGGCTTAGGGCGACGGTGTCTGTACACAGTTCTGTTTGTGATTGCAACTGTTGTCGGCCATGTTTGTTTGGGGCAAATCACTTTGTTGATCCGCTAACTGCTGAGGCAGGCGATGTTTTACTATATGATGAAACCATATTACAGTCAAACCTATTGTTGGTCAGCGTTCTTATTTACTCGTGAGGGGGACTCTGAAGACAATCAAATGACAGATATATTAATCCCGTAGCCACAAGAAGAGAAGAGCCACCAACCACACATGTTGGACCTTCTGAAAATGTGAAGAACATCAATGACAGAAGCATTCATCAGCCCTTTGCTCTTTGTTTAAAAAGGTAAAGTCAGTGATTCTAAAGGAAGAAAACCAACGGATCCAACCTCCCTTCAGTTACTGCATGACTACAGCAGGCTTTAAGCTAAAGTTAACGTCTTAAGCGCACAATTTAACACCAATTCTCCATAGTGACACAACTAAAGCTTGACAGACATGCCTAGTTACGGTTGCTATGCCATGACTGGACAATTGCTGTTCAGAATAAGGGGGCTATTAAATGCTCAATTTAAACTTGTACCTATAAAATGTTATATAGCTGCAATTAAAAAACAAACTAACCCTGGATGGAACATGAAAATGAAATAATTCAAGTTCTGGTTCCTCGCAAGGCGCAGGCTGCAGTTTTATTTATGACTTAACACATTGGGTTCAGACCTCCTGGTGTGTTCAACATGTAAGCACTTTCAGCACAAGTGTAACTTCGCACCAACATGTTAGAGCAGCTATTTTTGCGATAGCACTTTAGCAAGACAGCAGACTGAACTCGGCGTGATTCAACAACGTATGACAGCGATATGGAAAAGGGAAGCAGGTTTGTGCACACACACACACACACACACACACACACACCAGAAACCCAATTACACCCACCAGGCCCTTATAGGTAAACAGTACTGTGTGTACAGTAGTTACAGAGAGATTAATGGGAATTAGAGAGCGCTACTGTCCCTGTGTTAGGTTACATGTAAATGCATGAGGCTCATCTGAGAGGTGAGGAGGTGGGTGCAGGGGGAGTGTGTCCTAAAATCTTCTTATTGCAGAAGCAACAGTTCCTATTACGTGTCTGAAACCTTCTGAAAAATGCTGCCTCACCTGTCCTCATATCAGTACCTGCTCTGTTTACTGCACATTACGTAATGACTGCTCGTGTTGTGGATACACAGCGTCAAAGTATGACCTTGTGGTTTCCATCAGGCACAGAGACGACCAGCAGAGCCACAAATCATTCTGCTCTTAATTCCCACTTTCACATGAGTTTGATATTTTGCTCTGTGATGTAACCTTTGAATTTCATTACATAAACGGCACGAGAGAAAAAAAAGAAAACACCGACGACAGGACGGCTCTGCAAACCACAACAAGGAGTGAAGTAACAATTAATGTGGCCAATTAGCAGAACCAAAGTGCAGCGCTGAGAGCTCCTGGAGAAGTCCAGCGAGCTAATGAGGAAATCTAATTAGAAAAAAAATGTTATCCTCAAAGCACAACATGTACCCCTGTGCGTGAGTCGCCCCCCCTGACCCCCTGACCCTTTGCCTTGAGGTTGGTATGTCTTAATGAAAATTGTAAGCTGATGTGACAGCAGTGGAGCTACTCACTTACAGAAGAGCAGAGGTCATCCACACACACCAACACACAGGCCGGATGGATGGAGGCGGGTGGGAGGCCAGGTGGGGTGGTGGGGGAGTAGGGGGTGAGCTGGATCCTGCCTCCTCTCCGCTCAGGCTTCCCTCGTCTCCGCAGGTATCACTCAGCACAGCGGCACAGATAAATCCACAAGATGCAATGCAGCAGCTCTATCACAGGCGTTCGGCAGGGAGACGGGGGGGTGGAGGGATGACCGGTCCACGGGTCTGTCTGACACTCACCCGTCCACCCTCCCTCTGTCCTCCACGCTCAGCTCTGAACGGCGCCTCCCTGGGCCAGATAGCAGGAACCACTAAATAAAGACACAGGGACACAGTGGAGACAGCTCCGGAGAGGAGAAACTGCTGCTGAGGAGGGCTTTATAATCAGCCTGCAGCTCCTCCCCCACCAATCTCTGACATCGGCCCTCCCTCGTTGGTATGGCGACGGCCAATCACCAGCGGGCACACCGCGGCCCTCCTCCTCTACCATCCTCCTCCTCCTCCTCCTGAACCAGCCTCTGGTGTTGACAGGTTTGTCACACACACTGACAACATCCATGAAAGCATGCGGGCCTGTTTGTGTGTGTGGAAAAAAATGTACGTACAAGTGTGTGTGTGTGTGTGTGTGTGTGTGTGGCTGGATGTCTTTGTGTGCGTACCACATGTTTGTATGTGTATATACTTAATACATATAATTATAAGTGGATGCATGTGCCTACTTCTATGTCTCATGTAGTGGGTCGTTTTGTCTCGTTTATGTAATTTTGTGTCTTGTTGTCGACATTGTGTGTCCAGTTTATGTCGTGCTGTATTCTTCTTTTTATCATTTTGTGATTTGTTATATTGCTTTGTGTCTCAGTTTGGTCATTTTGTCTGTTTGTTCTTTTCGTGTCTTGTTTGATTGGATTTTGTTTCTCACTCATGTCATTTTGTGTCTGTTTGTGTTGTTTAGGGTCTGAGTTTGGTGATTTTGGCGTCTTGTTTGTGTCGTTTCGTGTCTCATTTCGCTCATTTTGTGGCTTGCACGTGTCGTTTTGTGTCCCAAGTTGGTAATTTTGTCTCTTGTTTATGTTTTACATTTAATTTTTGTCATGTTGGGTCTTGTTTTAGTCGTTTTGTGCCTTGTTGGGATCATTTTCTGTCTCGTTTTTGTCTGTTCAACCATTTACATTTTATTTTTCACAGCCAAAACTATACTATTTACCATTTAAGCCAGATATTGAAAAAGATTTTAGGTGAGCTTCAGAGGAGCCGGACAGCTAATTAGCCGTATTTAGCCATTCTCGCCTGTGTCACATAGTGCCATTATAAACATGGCCCTGGAGAGCATGCTGGGTAATGACTCTCTTGCATGCTGCAAATGGGGTCACTTCATCAAAAAACAATCAGTGGCTCCCACCTGACCGCCTCAGAATCAGCAAATCGTTTATGTGCCATAACTTCATTATACTTTATGTGTCGATTTTTCATTTATATTAGTTTTTGCAGCATGTTTGAACCCAAATAACCTCATAAGTACAGGAGACAGCTACATGAAAATCAGTTGTTTTTACATTTTAAAGCCATAAGTTAGGTTGCTGGTCAAAACATGTTTTGCCGACTCAAGATCTAATTTGTATCTGCATTTTGATATCAGGCCTTCGATTAATTAGGTTTTAACATATAAAAAATTACATGAATGTCTTTAAAAAGTGCAAAAGTTTGCCCTCTGAAAACATCGATAGTATGAAGGTAGAATGTTGTGTTGCTTCGTTAAATATAGTAATCAGCTGACCCTGAGGTGGTGATGTTGAATTTCTTTTTCAGATTTGGGTGATTTTTTTATGGAATGAGTCAGTGCTAAAATTCTCCAGACAGTATTGTCCTTCAAGGTGAGTGCAATTCAATATAAAATCAGTGTTCCCAGGAATCTAATAAGCACACATACATTACTTTTTTTTTTTTAAATAAATTAAAAACATCTTTAAAAAGCACACACAAAACAATTTCCAAGACACTGTGCTCATATTCCCAATTAGTTACAATTAAATAAATTCTTCCTCAGAGAAGAGAGAGAAAATAGAATAAAAAAACAGAGGACCCAAACAAAGGATGAAGAACACAGATGTGAGTCCGACAGTGTGACAATTTAAAATACAAACTAAGCAGGTGGCTGTAACAACACGCAGCTGTTACGTGTCCCATCGAACGCTGTGTCGCTGAAAAGATCCTGACATTCAAACAGACTGCGAGTGTTTTGTCACATCTACTTTTAAGTGTGAGCGTTTCTGTCTTTGCGTCTCTCACTTGTGGTGCAGCAGTTTGATCTGAACGTCTCCCGGACCAGATATCACAGGATTGCCACCTCTGCTGACGTCTCTCAGCAGCACAGAGAGTGAAGACAGGACTTTGAGCAGCGTTGAAGTGCAAGGTCGCAGTCTTTCCTTTTTGTTTGATGGAGTGGCAATTAGATTTTTTTACTTGACTTTGATGCTGCGGTGCGACAGCTAAGACTCAGGTGCGAGTGCCGGTGTTGAAATGTGGGAGCTGACAGGTGCCGCGTTGATAATCGTCGTCAACAAAACAGTAAAAACGTGTTTCATAAGGGAAGCTATAAGATAAGATAAGTTATATGAATCAGCATATTTTCAGGAAACTTCTTTTAATTAAACACTTTTGGTTTCCTTGTTCTGTTATTAAACAATATAATTAGACATAATTAAATGAATTAAATATTTAAATATAATTAGACAGGATGACAGCACCTTGTAATTAGGCAACGTTTGGAAACGGCTGACGGTTGATGAATATTTTCCCTCAGGACATTTGTTGTTTTTGTTCCTTAGTTGATAGTTAATTTCTAATCTTCTGGAAAGGGCTGCAAGATAACTGGATCTAAACTAATTAATTACATATTTACTGATGTGAGTGATGTAAGTGTATGAACACAGAAGTGAATACACCTCCATGCAATATCACCTGAATGCTATAGGATTCAAAATAGCATCACCGCTCGATAACTGCATTATTTCTAAGTTGATGCACAACGAACCACAAAAACTTTTCAAAGCCTACATTGAAAATACAGGCCTCAATGCAAAAGCTCCCATCATAGAAACAACATTAAGCACACCTGTAATGTTCCAATCAGCATACTTGCATGAACATGGAATGACAGAATAAAATAGATGAAATAACCTGTGAACACCAGAACTTTCTTAGTTTGGGACCTTTGGGCTGTGTCGCTTGCATCATGGCTCCACATCGGAAACAACTGCCAGAAGAATTGCAAATCTGATTGTGATGCTTCACAAAAGATGCTGTAAGGATACAAGATCCATCCATCATCTAATTATCGCAGGGGGCCTGGAGTCTATCCCATCTGACTCAGGGTGTGAAGGCAGGTTCACCTGGACAGGTAACCAGTCTATCACAGGGCTACACTTAGAGACAGACAACCAAGCACACTCACATTCACACCTACGGACAATTTACAATCACCAATTAACCTCAGCATGTTTCTGGACTGTGGGAGGAAGCCGGAGAACCCGGAGAGAACCCACGCTGCACGGGGAGAACATGGAGACTCCACGCAGAAAGATCCTCACCGGGATGCGAACCGGGGACCTTCTAGCTGCGAGACAACAGTGCTAACCACTGACCCACCTTGTAGCCCCTACAAGAAGATCAGATAAACTTAAAATCAGTAGAACCGCAATTCTAGCAGTAATCAGAAGGTGATGAGCCATGGTCCCAAATTTTCCTCTGATTAGCCCGGCCAGACCTGGCACCAAACTGCAAGTTTAAACTTTGCTATTGAACAAGAAAAGAAGCTTGATGAACAATAAGAGCACATTCTTTGGTCAGAAAAGATACATTTGTTGGGTTTAGATGGGGTCCAACATGTTTGGCATGAACCCCAACAAGACGACCACAGTGGGTGCACAGTCCTGACAGTGAAGCAGGGAGGAGGGAGTGTTGCTGCTATGGAGCTGCATAAAGCTGCAAAAGCTGTTGAGGAGATGACATTTATAGATGGCACCGCAAATGTTTGTGCATATATCAAAAATACTGATTAACAAGATGACTAACGGGCAGCAGAAGCTTGACTGAAGAGGAGTTTTCCAGCATGATAATGATCCAAAGCACACGGCCAAAAAATCAGACAATCGTGGGAACGGAAGGTGTGAAAACTACTAATTATACACACTTCCCAAACATTGACACGGGCTTCATAACTCACCAGCAAGAGATTTTTCACACCCTGGCAAGCGACACCGTGTTCTCATCACACCAAAAGTCCACAATACAAAAATAAACACACATAAAAGAAAGTTTAGTTTAGTTATTATGGAAACGTTACTCATCAGACAAGCCCAGCCGCAATTAGACTAATTTCCATTCATGTTTGTATTCTTAACATGAACAACAATCCCATAAAGACCCAGTGCTATGAAACAGGCTCCAGGTATTCATGGTCCCTCCTCTGCCATAAAACCATTACATTCTATCTCCTCAGTATTTCTAAGCGGCTGTCGGCAGTAAAAGTGTGCAAGTCTTCCAGAAGATAAACATCTATATCACGAATGGTTAAAAATTCTTTCTGGGAGAAAACCTTCCCTCTGTTATCAGCTGAAGCTAAGACAGAAGCCTCCAGCTATGTTGTCTTATCTTCGGTAGGGTTTTTTCCCTGGATTTGGACAACTCCAGGGTAAACAAGTAAAATAACAGAAATATTTTTAAAGACAGACATAATATTTCTACGAAGGAGTCAATGTGTACCAGATACCAAATAAATGGCAGCTCTTTAATGGCCAAGTGGTGGCAAAACTAATCTTTTCCATCAGTCTCAGCTGTACTTTGTGTTTTGTTTGCATGCTAACGCGCTAAACCAGTACAGTCAACCTGGTAGACGGACTTATTTAACAACAACATGCTCATGTTATTGCTGTTAGCATTTAGCTCAAGTACAGCTCTTAGCATTGAGGATAGGCCCACAGATACTAGCATGACTGTGGATTCTTAGTCCTGTTGCTCACTGATTAATGCGCCGGAATAAAAATGA